AGGTTGTAAGAGACAGTAAATGTTCTTCTTCCTGTAAATTATTGGCAAAGGCTTGCAAAGCTGAAAATACTGCTTTCATATGAGTAGTTTTATTTGGAAATGCACATGCCCAGGAATAAAATGAGCAGCGAAAGATTCTTCGGTAATGCGGAGGCCACTCAAAAACTCATTACTAAAATACCCTACAAAGTGGCCAAAACACTACTTGAGAGCAACAGATCTCTTTCCTCTTCCCCCTCAAAAGATGGATTTGAGAGCTCTGGCAGCCTTGGGAATTTTTAAAATAAAGCAGACTAGGAGAATTGGGTAGCAGTATGTCCATTAGTCAGGAGTCATTACCTTTCTCCCAGGTAACTTTCAGGTTTGATTAAAAAAATGAGTTCTCATCCATGTGTATCATATCGGAAGTTTGTTTTTATACAAGTACTACATTTTCTTTCACGTTTCCTTTACCCTTTTATAGCCTCAAATATCTCCCATAAATTAGGTGCAAATACAATAAAATGCAATATGTTGTATAGTTTTTTATACCATATATTGTATGCCACATAATACCAAATTCAGGCACCTTAAAGGCAAATGCAATTCTGCATACGCTAGGAATTTCTTGCCTAGAATCTATATTTTTAATTCTCTTCCTTTTTTAATAAAAGTTTAACTACTCAAAAGAGATGGCTGCTCACTTTTCCGATTCTGCTCCTGAGTTGTCTAATTGCTTATCTTCATAACAGTCAAAGAAAAATAATTTGGCAGCAGAATCCACTGTCTGTAAATATCTAATTATACCTGGGAGTTTAGTGTGACCTAAAAGCTAATGTCTTTCTTTTAATTTAAGAGCCAGCCTAAAACCACAGTGAGGCACTTTGACATTTTGTAAGCTACTGCCTTTATTTTATAAATACTTATCCTCCTCCTCAATTTAAATGTAAAATAAATTGCTCTTTCAGTTATGGGTCATCTGAGTGAGGAAGCAGTGACTGAAGCCTGCCGTCGTCAGCGACAGGTAGGCTATGTCGCCGGTGTCCCATGTCGCCGGTGTCCCGGTGGGGCACTGGGCTGCCGTGACTCAATTGCTCCATGTATCTGGGCCAGTTTATCATCAGCTGCTGAAGCATTTCTGCGCTCTGCCTCAGCATGAACTCTACTTCTCCTCCATCTGAACACAACATGTAATTCTGATCTTAAAATGCTGATGCAACAAAGAGCAAGGCTGGTTTCTACAGCGAAACCAGAAGTGCCGCATGCAGCCTGCGGCATTTGTGCCCCAGCAGCAAGGAGGTATCTGGCTGGCTGTGCCTTTGGGGCCGCGGGAGCTGCGCTGGGAGCCGCGCGCCCCGGCAACAGTTGCACCACGCGTGGGCAGGCGGTGAGCCTAACAGCTGCACCTGCCTGCCTGTGCACAGCACTGCGAGCCTTTACCTCATTTACTTGTGCGCACTTTGGGAAACACAATGAAATGTGTATTGTAAAATAAAAATTTTACTCATTCTCTTTGAAAAAGTGCCTTGCATGATTCGTACTTTTTTTTTTTTTCCCAGAATGTAAAAAGTCTGTTCTGTCCAAAGGATTAGTACTGTTCAATTTATGTACATTAGCTTTTTAAAACAAATAAATAAGCTGGTCACTTGTGAAGTATGTCAGAATGACCTTAATAATTACACTGAATCATTCTTTGTCAAGAAGTTTCTGAATAGCAGCACTTACCTAGGACATAGCTTACTCTGAGATCCTAACTGGGACAGTTAGGGAGTCTGGGAGAAAGGACTCCTTTTTTAATCAGCTCTTTACAGTGGCAATAGGAAAAGTCTATTTTTTTCCTGTAAGCAAACAATGAACTACGTGGTAACGAAAGAGCAGCTAAAACGTGTCATGCCTTACGTCAGCTGCTTAAGTGGATCCATTGTTCTGTTCTGGATTGAATGGACACAGGGTTGTTGTTACTGCTAAAGGTTGGGGATGATTTCGCTTTAGTTTGCTTAAAATAATTGTGTTCCTTCATGCCTTTTCATAGTAAAATAGGACACATTTTTTAAATATGGAGAAAAAGGCAATTCTGTCTGTCTTTGGGTGCAGTAATACGAAGACGACAACATTAAATACCAGAAAAATGGGAAGGAATGTCTGCTTTTAACTTGTTTACAGAAAAGGAGTTTAAGCACTATTTGCCAGCCATGACTGACATAACATGACATGGCTGGAAGAACGCACTTTCAAAAATGAATTCAAAGATCTTCAGCGTAAATGAAAGTTTTCATTTCCCATTTGTTTGTTTGAGTGGGAAGGTGTATTTTTGTTGCATATCTTTAAAGATATCTTCTATGTGATGTATTTAAATTTCACTATGGTAGTATTTCTAAGACTGGTTAATATGTTGTACTTCTGTCAAAGATTTTATGGAAACAGTAGTGTATGGAAAAATTATTTTGAGCTCATTGTTTGCCTTAAGACCTAGCCTGTTCTTGTAACGAATACATGTGTGTTGCATCAGTCAGAATAAAAGTTCAGCAGAATAACTGTCTCTAGTTCCTTGATTACTCCTTCCCGGAACGTAACTTTATAACAATTTCAAATAACCTGAAGTAGCCTTCAGTGAAAGTGTAACCTTCAGTGTCAGTTATGAACCAATTGCTGAGCTGACTTGGCTGGCACCTATGGGTAGAGGATCCTTTTTTGGAGAATTAGGATAGCCAGCATGCTCAGGTCCCTTCATTGAAATGCACACAGGACAAGCTGTTTACAGCAGGCTTCTGTTTACACAAAGGCGGCGTTCTTCGGGCTTCGTGTTACCTTCCTGAGCAGCTGACGGGAAACAAGGAATCCCTTCTCCTCTGTTAAGTATCCTGGTCTCCTCAATGCCAAGGGGAAGTTCCCCCATGAGGAGGAAAGCCCCAAGTTTTTCTTCTCCGCAGATTAGGAGAAAAGTAATTCAGCAGTTTTATTGTTGAATTTACCTGGTGGTGGCTTTTCCTGTATTTAAAGATTTTAATTCTTCCTTAATTTAACCCCATGATTTGTTCTGGGGTGTTACAACTGATACTTCTTGTGCCACATCTATATAATCTGGGATGTAAAGTAATTTGGGACATAGTGTGCTTAGCATTGTTGGATGTGAAGGCAGGGCACAGATAGATACCATAAAGTGCTCTTGTTTCTGAGCAGTGTTTAGGCACAATCATAGTTCTCATATGTTATTTTTCTCTATCAGGTCAATAAGCAAAGGCCTCTAGAGGTGTGAGGATGGAGCAGAGCTGGCTGGCTAAGAGGGGATGGAGTCCCAGAGGTCTGGGGCAGGAAGGTAGGCATGTGCAGAACTACCACATTCTGACTGCTGCTGCATCCAAAGCTTGCCAAAACACATCACACACTTGCCCACCTGTCCCTATAGCAGGATCCAGTATGTTACATGACCATTTTCTGGAACTACTTAGCACAGCATTATGAAGTTGTTTTTTTTTAATTCCATGTTTTCACATTCATATTGGGTTGCATTCAGTTTTCTGAGAGCATCAGTGTTTGCCACTGTCAGTGAAGGAACTTTTGTTGAAGAAATTTTAAAACAAGAAGCAAAAGACAAGTACTAGCCATTCCCCAATGGTGGTGTTATCTCACTCCTACAGGAATTACAGACCCTAACACACAAGCAAAGCAGCTTGCTGGAGAGCAGATGGCAGGTCTGTTCACTACCTGTTGCACAGTCTAGTCCACACAGGTTTGAAATTTGTGTTGCTGTTGTGACAATAAAGAGGAATATCTCAAAAATCATTTGCCAAGCATTTCTAAGCACAGAGTTAATTACAAACCAACCAGAATTCCAAAATGCTTCTTGGCCTTTTACCCACAAAGGCATTTTTCCAGAACACTAGTTAACTAAGGCACTAGGGTGATGTCTCTGCTACAGATACATCAGGAAAAAGCAGAATTCAGTCACAATGAATGGATGACGATTCTTCTGGAAGATCAAAAGATGATGAATAAGTTTTCTTGGAATAGGAAGGCTTTGCATTTTTGTATTTTCTCTTAAAATTTCATGCCACTGCAATCGAATCACAATTAGGTAGCCTTTACCTTACTAAAAGTAAAAAATCAACTAGCTTGATTCTGAATTATGAATGAATTAGAGGTTTCCACTGGATATATTTGCATCTGCAGTAGCATTATTCATAGGCGAACATAGTGGAAGTAAGAAACAGGTCTACTCTGACTTAGTTTCCTCTATTTTCAGGAACTCCCTCTGCACCTAAAATAACAGAGAAAAAGCTATCTACCTCTTCAAATGTCTTTTCCACAAATGAGCCACACTTTGGAATTTTAGTACAGACGTTTTCTAGGCTTCTAAAGCAAACTTCTACTGAAGAGCAGTAACACAGCAGCTCCACTAGTATACTTGAAATGTGATTAGGAAGGGCAGGTCCAAACATCTGCCGCAATGCATTTCAATGTGCTCCTCTGCTGAGTCAGTGAAATGTCATCACGACTTTCTCTTGAGCTAAATTCAACGATCTTCAGAAAAGAAACAGCAAGTAATTATATGCGATTGTCCCTTATTTCAAATGTCCTGCCCACTCCCTTATTTCTCTGTAAATTTATATTAATTGTCATGTGCCAGTACCACATTTCAATTTGAACTGGAACCCCAGAGAAAAGGGCCCTGACACAGACAAGATACAATGGGCAAAGCTCATGCTTATCAATTCTGATAATTTGTTTCAAATTATAGCTTTCCTTGGCTATTGTTCTTAAAGAAGACTCTCCCCTCTACTGTGGCCTGTTTCCTGGGTGAGCAGATGCCCCAGAAGTCAAAATCGCCAAGTGCGGGAGCTACCTCAGCCAGGAAGATGCCCAGGGACAAACCACAGGAGAGTTCCAGCAGCACAGCCCACAGACAGCTCTGTGTCAGGCTGTTACAAACGGGGATGATTCCTTCAGCTGTATGCACATGCTGAACTTGCACAGTTAGATTCAATTCACCTTC